AAAAAAAAAAAAAAAAAAAAAAAAAAAAAAAAAAAGTTCCATTAAAAGCGTATATAAAAGTTTAACAGATTTATATAGTTTCCTTTTGATTTGGCTTATATTAAAATAATAAAAAAAAAAAAAAACTATAATTAGTTGCCGTTTGATAAAATTTTGCAAAAATAACATAAAGCTTTAGGGATGCGTTAAAAAGTTTATATGGTAATACGCAATGATCATTTTGAAATTGAAGAAAACAATGAAGCTTCTGCAATTTATGTTTTAAATTGATGTAACGAGTGAAAAAAAATGTCATAGTAAATATTACGAACATTTTTTTTTTTCTCTGATAAGAATTTTATTTTTATATCAGAACGTATGCGTTACTCTGCAAATAAAATTTAATTTTCAGATTACTTAGACATTTGTAAAATAGAACAATTAATTTTATTTTAAAGTGAACAATACACATTGATTAATTTTATATACAATATAAAATTACGAAATTCATATATATTTTCTTTTTATAATTAATGGGCATTGATAAACAACTAATTAAAATTTAGTTCAATTGGCATAAGGGTATTTGCCGTCTCTTTTCATTCTTAACGAATGTCGGGATAAAGGGAAGGCCTTCGGCGTCCAATTAATTTTTAGTTGAAAATTATTTTTAACATTATTTGTAAGGATTTTAAAGCATTGCCCCACATTAAAAGGCCACATTTAACGATAAGACGGGCGATCAGGGAAAGTCCTTCTTTAGAAAGTCACTAAACGACTCGCACGAATTACTTGCTCTCATCACTCACTCGTCCACACCACCGTTGCCGCTCCCCGCCCCCCCTCCTCCTCCTCCTCCTCCTCCTCCTTGTTACCGCAAATTTCTAAATCGACAAAGTGCAGACGGGTCGCACATCGTCTTGCCTTCGTAAAAAAACTCATCCCATAGTTTATAAAAAACGAGACTCGGCGAGGTGAAGCAGTGTGAAAGAGACAGAGTGGAAAGACAAAGTTGGAAGCAGACAGCAGAGGTGCCGTTGCGGTGTTAGAGCATCAAGATGGGGGGTGGTGGTGGTGGTGGTGGTGGTGGTGGTGGTGGTGGTGGTGGTGGTGGTGGTGGTGGTGGTGGTGGTGGTGGTGGTGGTGGTGGTGGTGGTGGTGGTGGTGGTGGTGGTGGTGGTGGTGGTGGTGGTGGTGGTGGTGGTGGTGGTGGTGGTGGTGGTGGTGGTGGTGGTGGTGGTGGTGGTGGTGGTGGTGGTGGTGGTGGTGGTGGTGGTGGTGGTGGTGGTGGTGGTGGTGGTGGTGGTGGTGGTGGTGGTGGTGGTGGTGGTGGTGGTGGTGGTGGTGGTGGTGGTGGTGGTGGTGGTGGTGGTGGTGGTGGTGGTGGTGGTGGTGGTGGTGGTGGTGGTGGTGGTGGTGGTGGTGGTGGTGGTGGTGGTGGTGGTGGTGGTGGTGGTGGTGGTGGTGGTGGTGGTGGTGGTGGTGGTGGTGGTGGTGGTGGTGGTGGTGGTGGTGGTGGTGGTGGTGGTGGTGGTGGTGGTGGTGGTGGTGGTGGTGGTGGTGGTGGTGGTGGTGGTGGTGGTGGTGGTGGTGGTGGTGGTGGTGGTGGTGGTGGTGGTGGTGGTGGTGGTGGTGGTGGTGGTGGTGGTGGTGGTGGTGGTGGTGGTGGTGGTGGTGGTGGTGGTGGTGGTGGTGGTGGTGGTGGTGGTGGTGGTGGTGGTGGTGGTGGTGGTGGTGGTGGTGGTGGTGGTGGTAGTGAAAAGCGCGTGTCCCAACTCATCCTTGAAAGGAGGGAGAACTCGGAGTACGAAGAGTACGTCGGAGCTTTTTCTTTCCCGGGCGAGAATCCAATGGTTGAATTTTTAAAAACAACGAGGCTCGACACCCGCGTGACTCTTTCTCAGAAAGAGCGATTTGTCGGGCGACTTTTCATCCTGCGCTTTCCCATCTCAATTTACCTATCACCCACAATCGAAGTTTATGGTTACTCATTCCACTTTTTATGCGTTATACGCGCGTGTACGGAGATTTACGGGCGCGATAATGTCGTATGCCGTAAATATTATGAAAGACGTTTACGATCGTGATTTAAGGACTTGCTGAATACTTTATTGGCAAGCTACTTATACGTCGAGACCGCGCCCGAGCTTAATGCTCATTGGAGGCCGCCAAGCGAACGTAGCGATATATTTGCTGAAAACTTGCGCTCGAGGTTGGGTTAAGGAATATCAAACAAAAGCTCGACAATTCACGGGGAGTCCGCTTTGTTAATCAACTCGGGCTCTCTTTAGCCTCACAATCGATCCAATCGCTCCGACGAGTCTTAATCGCGAATTAATTGGGTAAAGACGCGGGGAAAAAGGCCGCCGCCGGCTTTCGCACTTAACGCAAGCGCAGCTCACGTCACACCTCCGGCGTCCCTTTCCCTCGCGGCGCGCCACGCCGTCACCACGGTCGTCCTCGCTTTCTCGTTGTTTGGCTCTCTCGGTGTGGCGCGGGCACGGGCGCACACCGCGCACCCGGCTAATGGCAATCGGTCGCAGTACTCGAGCACTCGAGTGCTCATTACCGCGAGTAGCGCAATGGGCGGAGGGATAACAAACAATACGGCGGCGAGTGTGCCTACTCAATTTTATTGGCACTCGGAACGTACGGGCGTACAAAACTGATAAGCCCAGCATCGATCAATCCTCGCGCGTTCGACTTTTGCGCAAAAATATCGCGCGCCCCGATGTTTCGTTAAAGGAGCGCAGCACACTGACCTTATGTCCCGAGCAGCAGTCGAGCGTTCGTTTCGA